TGCTGTGACGGCTGAGGGCAGGTCACTGCAGAGGCCTGCAGTGGCATCAGCAGTGGGGTGATGGGGCCGGCACCTTCCCCTGATCACCTGATTGCCTCTCGCGGAGGGAGGCCATTGGCAGCAGCAGTGGCTGGGGTGATGGGGACGCACCTTCAGCGGATATGCCTGGTCGCCTCCTGCAGAGGGAGGCCAGAAGCAGCAGCAGTGGCAGGGTGTGGGAGTGGCGCCTTCCCCTGATGGGCCCGGTTGTCTCTCACAGAGGGAGACCAGACTGCTCCCCAAGGGAAGTGGGCCTAAGCCATCAGTAGGACATCCCAAGATGAACAGTTTTAATTAAGACATCAATGGTTAATTGCAGTGTAGAGTCTGAAACCTTAGAAGTAAACTTTTTGTACTCTGTTGCATTAAAACCCTTGGTCTATCCTGCACTTTGAATGGATCATTTACTCATGCATGATTTTATAATATTATGACTTCATCATTTTGTTACCACCCTTTGGGGTTCTTGGGTTTACCAAGATCAAAATCGAGAGGAAACCCCAGAGAATTTCCAGATAGATTTAAGGTTATGCTCCAGCACAAGGGAGACAGCACAGAGGAAAGAAAGGTCCTCTGAACTGGCTGGGGGATGGCTGCGAACAAAGGGGGCTTGAGTGAAAAACTGGGCTTGTGAAGGCTCCAGGGAGTAGAGATTTCTGTGTTGGGTTCCTTGGCAACAGCCTCCCCCACATGCACTGTGAGGGCAAGATTATAGTGTTGCTCTTACTATCACCCACAAAGGTCCTATAGCAGCCAAACTTTGATCAACTGCATATGTGGAACAGTGGTTTAGACATTTTCTGGCCACCTGGTATATTTCCATTCCCGGGGCCCATTTCCTAAACTGACTCAACTTGGAGATATTGCTTCATGAATAATGTATATCTTCCAAATGTTGACATTTTGTTATATTATCCTATATAATAAAAGGGTAATATGTAAATTGACCCTAATGGCGGAACGACCAGAATGACCACTCGACCAGTCACTGTGAGGTGCACTGACCACCTCTTGGTCCCTTCCCCCAGCTGTAGGCTCCAATTGCCTGATGGCTCTCTGGGGAACCGGGGTGGTTGTTGGCTGGGGGTGGGGCTGGCTGTGGGCAGCCGGGGAAGATGGCACTGATCACAGGCCAGGCCTAGGGACCATACCCATGCCTCTAGTCCTGTATAATAGAAGGCTAATATGCAAATGGACTGAACGGCAGAAGGACTGGTT